TTCTTTTATTCTCACTTGAACTCTCTCAGTTCAAGAAGGCCAATGACTCTTATATTACTGAATTCAATGATATATTCTCAATTAAAATGTGTATCATATTACTGAATTCAATGATATATTCTCAATTTGCTCTGCTCAAGGATATTAAATTCCACTAAAGAGAAACTAAATGAGATTAAGCTTGTATGTGTTAGGTACAGATAAAAAGTAAGCAAAGCATGTATACATTAAATACAGACAAAAAGGGACCAAGAGTTATCTAATATTCTTGAGGCAAATATGCAAAAGGCACCAAAGAGTCAGAATACATTAAATATACATGAGATACTTAGAACTCAGTATTTGTGAGACCTTAATGTGGCTACACATTAGTGATACCTAGTCTGTGCACTGACTAACAAATACAAATAACACCTATGACTGTCCAGCAGATGGAAAGCTAACGCCATGACCAGGCATACTTGTTCCTGTATCTTCCTAAAAGTGTGTGTATCTTTGGCCCATGGCACTTACCATGTGGGCTCTAGCTCTCACAACCGCATCACTGGCAAAGAATGCTGATAAGGCAAAAGATGTAAACACAATGTACCCCAGAATTTAGGCAGTACGGTCCTTCTATCCTACTTAAACCCCAGCGTAAATGTATTAACTTATCCTCTATCATTTCCTTTGCTTCTGTGTATATTTATTTAATGAACCATGTGATATAAACATTTTATCAGTTAGCTTTTTTCCCAATAACCTTTGGGATAGCTTGCTTGGTGGTGCTTTTGAAGTCCAGCATTGAATTAGGGTGATTTCCCACTCTTCAAAACACTATTTGACACATTACTGACTTTACCTTTTCGAAACATTTTTCTCTGGGTCATCACCCATGGTTCTCATATCTCACTGGCTATGTGTTCTCCATGTCCTCTATGGCCCTAGGATGATGTTTGTTACAAACATTTAGCCTTACATCTTTTCATAACATCTTCAGGCTGGTAAGTCCCAAATTTATATTTCCAGTCCTAACATCTCACATAAACACAGTTTAAAACCAAACTTTTACTATCTCCTCAAAACCAATTCCTCTCTTAAATAACTGCAATGGCCTCCTAAATAGTTTCCTGGTTTCCCACCTTAGAGCCACTTCAGTCTGCTCCCACCCAGCACTCTGAGTGATCCTTCCAAAACATGAATCAAACCATATTAATCCTCTGCTCAAAATCCATGTTATGGCTTTCTATATGCATCATAATAAAATCTAAAATCTGTACCATAATCTGCAAAACCCCAGCTGAATTACTCCAATCTCTACTCCCACCATTAAGCAGCTTTCTCACCCAGTTCTAGCCATACAAACCTCTGTAACATTATACAAACACTCTAAACATGTTACCACTTCAAGATCTTTTTTTTTTTGAAGACAGAGTCTCACTCTGTTGCCCAGACTCGAGTGCAGAGGCTCAATCTCAGCTCACTGCAACCTCTACCTCCTGGGTTCAAGCTATTCTGCCTCAGTATCCTGAATAACTAGGACTACAGACACGTACCACCATGCTCAGATAATTTTTTGTATTTTTAGTAGAGACGGGGTTTCGCCATGTTGGGCAGACTGACCTTGAACTCCTGACCTCAAGTGATCCACCGCCTCAGCCACCCAAAGTGCTAGGATTACAGGTGTGGGCCACTCTGCTTGGCCAAGATCTTTACATTCACAACTCCCTCTGCTTGCAGTGCTCTTTCCTGATAGATTTATATGACTTACTCCTTATTTTCAGCTCACTGCTCAAATATCCTCTTATCAGAGCGGACTGGACTTCCCTTATCAACTTTTTGAGACAGTCTCCCTCTGTCACACAGGCCAAAGTGCACTGGTGCAATCTTGGCTCACTGCAGCCTCCTCTTCCTGGGTTCCAGTGAATCTCCTGCCTTAGCCTCCCGAGTAGCTGGGATGACAGGCACATGCCACCACACCCAGTTAATTTTTATATTTTTAGTACAGACATGGTTTCACCATGTTGGCCAGGGTGATCTCAAACTCCTGATTTCAGGTGATCTGCTCACCTCAGCCTCCCACAGTGCTAGAATTTATAGGCATAAGCCACCATGCCAAGTTCCTTATCAACTTTTATAAATACAAACTTCTGGCAACTCACCCAACCACCCTCAGGCTTAGCATTCCTATACTCCTTGTCCTACTTCATTTTTCTTCAGAATCTGGGCCACCACCTGAGAGACATTAATTGGTTTGTTTACTGCCTGTCTGTCCAGACATTAAGTTCCACCAGGTCAGCAATTCGTACATTCTATCTCCTGTGCATAAAGTTTACAGAATACCAAGCACATAGAAGGTACTCAACAAGCATGACTAAATAAATAAATTAATTAATAACAATAACAGGAGATATTCCCACAGCAAGTGTTAGCAGCAAGAAAGGACAGCTCCACATGAAGACAAGAGGATTAGCTAGAGAATCACATATCCTGCCAAGTCCCACAAGCCCAGCAGACTCCCAGAATTACTTGGGACAAGAGCTATAATACCAGAAAGGCAGGTGAGAGAAAAGCCATACAAATACTGTTCTTTGGTAGTCACAACCCTAATTTTAAAAAATAATAATAATTAATTGGTAAGAAAAAATAATGACTTTACCACAGACAAAACAGAAAGACACTGTCTCAAACAAGTGATCAAAATAGTATTACCAGTATTCTAAATTGGTAGGCTTATGCCAACAAAACTGAGAAAAGTAATAGTAATATCACCAGTAACTGCAAAAATAAATATCATGTGCTTCCTAATACAATGCACCAAGAATACTACATAACTTCTATGGTATTCCTGCCAAAAACATATAACCCAAATCTAATCATATGTAACAACAAAACAAAAAAATTGGTCTATATTAAAAAATGTCAGTAACATAAAACACAGACACTCAAATTGTTTCACATTAAAGAAACATGACCATTAAATAGACATAACCGTTAAATGCAATACATAATCCTGGATTTTATTTTGTTAGAAATGACATTGTTGAGACAATTGGCAAAATCTGAATACAATCTGTAGATTAGGTTAACAGTATTTCATCAATGCTAACTTCTTGACTTTGGTAATTTTGTGGTTATATAAGAGAATGCCCTTTTTTTGGTTTTGTTTGTTTTTGGCTTTTTTGGTTTGGTTTTTTTTTTTTTTTTTTTTTTGAGACAGAGTCTCCCTCTGTTGCCCAGGCTGGAGTGCAGAGGTAATCTTGGCTCACTGCAATCTCCACCTACCAGGTTCAAGTGATTCTCCTGCCTTAGCCTCCTGAGTACCTGGGATTACAGACATGAGCCACCACACTCAGCTAAGTTTTGTGTTTTCAGTAGAAATGGGTTTTCACCATGTTGGCCAGGCTGGTCTTGAACTCCTGATGTCAGGTGATCCACCTGCCTTGGCCTCCCAAAGTGGTGGGATTACAGGTATGAGCTACCACGCCCAGTCCCCTGTTCTTAAGAAATACACACTGTCAACCAGACACAGTCAATCACACCTGTAAACTCAGCAATTTGGGAGGCTGAGTTGGATGGATCACTTGAGACCGGGAATTCAAGACCAGCCTGGCCAATGCGGAAACCCCATCTCTACTAAAATTACAAAAACTAGCTGGGCTTGGTGGCGGGCACCTGTAATCCCAGCTACTCGGGAAGCTGAAGCAGGAGAATCACTTGAACCTGAGAGGCAGAGGTGGCAGTGACCTGAGAATATGTGGCTGTACTCCAGCTGGAGCAACAGAGCAAGACTCTGTCTCAAAAAGAAAAAAAGTATAACTACAAAAGAAGAAGCTATAAAAAAAACTGATAGAAGTTTTTAAAGAATATTTTCTATCAGACTAAAATAGTCAAATTTTTCCTACTTCTGAATTTTATTTAAAAACTAGAAATAATTTTTAAAAACTGGAAATAAGGCCTGGCACACTGACTCATGCCCGTAATCTCAGCACTTTGAGAGGCAGAGGCAGGCAGATTGCTTGAGCCCAAAAGTTCCAGAACCACCTGGGCAACATAGCAACACCCTGTCTCTACAAAAAAAAAAAAAAAAAAAATTCAAAAACTGAAAAAAAAGAACTAAATAGTACCATAAAATACAATATCATAACACTGACCTTCAAAGAAATACTGACTTCCATACAATATTTCTATTTTCTTATTTAAAATTTTTTTTTAATTAAGATAACCTGGGGGCTAGGTACGTGCAGTGTAAAATATTTTTTTAATTAAGATGACCTGGGGGCTAGGTAGGTGTAGATTACAGATCACGCCTGTAATCTCAGCACTTTGGGAGGCTGGGGCAGGCATATCACTTGAAGTCAGGAGTTTGAGACCAGCCTGGCCAACATGGTAAAATCTTGTCTCTACTAAAAATAATCCCAGCACTTTGGGAGGCCAAGGTGGGTGGATCATGGGGTCAGGAGTTCGAGACCAGCCCAACCATCATGGTAAAATCCCATCTCTACTAAAAATACAAAAATTAGCCAGGCATGGTGGTGCGCACTAGTGCCAGTGCCAGGCATGGTGGCTAAGACGGGAGAAGAGTTTGTACCTGGGAGGCGGAGGTTGCAGTGAGCCGAGAACACGCCACTGCACTCTAGCCTGGGCGACAGAGCGTGACTGCATCTCGAAAAATAAATAAATAAATCAAAATAAAAAAGAACACAAAAATTAGTCAGGTGTGGTGGAGGGCACCTATAGTCCCATCTCCTCAGAAGGTTGAGGCAGCAGAATCGCTTGAACCCAGAAGGTGGAGGTTGTACTGAACTAAGATTGTGCCATGGCACTCCTGCCTGGGTAACAGAATGAGACTCCGTCTCAAAAAAAAACAAAACAAAAGATAACCTAAAAATGGCACCCATAATTTCATAACTTAGTATTTCAACTGAAACACCATGAAATACAGCAGAAAAACCTTAGCTCAAAGGCAAAAGAGCCACAATCAGCCATTTCTAAAAAGAGAGAAAACAAAGCAACATTACCTTCATGGACTGTAATGCCACAATTGTCACACTGAATTATTTCATCAGCATCCTCACTATTATCTCCCAGACAAACACAGCAAATCAGAATATGGTCCATTTTTTGAGAACTCCAGTTTTGACTCTTCTCAAGAATCAGCGAGTCCTAATATTAAAATATTAACATACATCAGAAAATCACTTTTAAAGTAAAAAAAATTAATCACTAAAATTTTCTTAAACATTATTTTCTGCACTTCCAAATTTATGCCTTGTTTTCCATTATTTTACTAACTTCAAAGTACATTTTTATTAAGAAATACATATTTGACCTCTTTGTCAAAGAACCCTATGACACCCTCTTATTTAATTTTTCACTTCTCTGCAAGTTCCATACTCTCTATCTATCCTCTAGGATCTGAAAAAGCAGGCATGCAACTAACAACCATTCATCTGCTTTGCCATTGTGCTTTTCTCCTTAAACTAGGAGAAAAGGGGCCGGGCGCAATGGCTCATGCCTGTAATCCCAGCACTTTGGGAGGCCGAGGCGGGTGGATCACGAGGTCAACAGATCGAGACCATCCTGGTCAACATGGTGAAATCCCATCTCTACTAAAAAATACAAAAAATTAGCTGGGCACGGTGGCGCGTGCCTGTAATCCCAGCTACTCAGGAGGCTGAGGTAGGAGAATTGCCTGAACCCAGGAGGTGGAGGTTGCGGTGAGCTGAGATCGCGCCATCGCACTCCAGCCTGGGTAACAAGAGTGAAACTCCGTGTCAAAAAAAAAAAAAAAAAAAAACTAGGAGAAAGGAAAAATGAATCCACAAGTAATCAAAGTAATCATTGATCCTATACATTTGTTTTAAAACTATAAGACATGGTTCTTACACTTTAGAAACTTAACAATCCTACCTAGAGGAGACAAGACACACATATACAAAATAGGAAGAAATCAATTCAAAATAACATACAAGCAAGTGTGTATGTGATGGCAGACTTAAGTACTCTATACTCCTTTAAATTCTGGGGAATTCAGAAATTACAGGGTTATCAAACTACTGTAAGATCCATGAGAGCCTGCCTAAGTATATGAATATACACAGATACAGAAAATAATCTGAAAAAGAATCCAGATTGACTAGCTGCTAGGAGGGTCAGAGTACTCTATTAATTAGGTTTCTATTAAGAAATATGTAGTGTAAACTGGTAATATAGACATTAGCTAGTGATACTATAAAAAGAGAGGATGGGCACAGTAGCTCACACTGGTAATCCCAAATACTGTGGGAGGCTGAGGCAGGACCACTTGAGGCCAGTAGCTTGAAACCAACCTCAGCAACACAGTGAGATCCTGTCTCTACAAAATATTTTAAAATTAGCTGGGCATGGTGATTCATGCCTTTAGTCCCAAATCCTCAGGAGGCTGAGGTGGGAGAATTCAATGCTGCAGCGAGCTATTATCGTGCCACTGCACTCCAGCCTGAGGCACACAGCAAGACCCTGTCTCAAAAAGAAAGAAAGAAACAAAAAGATATATTAATAAACAAATATTTAAAGATAAACTTTCAGAAAAAGAGGATCTGCTTGTTTTAATTTAAACCTGCATTATGGATTTTAACTTTAAATAAGTTAACCAGAAAATGATTCTTGCATATTTAATAGATTATGTTTAACATTACATATAATAAAAGATGGTACTTGTGGCCATACGTTTTTATTTATGAACCTAACAATATTCAGAAATAAATTTAATAAATTAGTTTCATACCATACTCATTAAATTTATTTTGTTTCACAATATATTTCATATATTTTATTATTTTTATATTTTTAGATTCTTTTAAACTCAATCAATATCCAAAAATAACATTTGGAGACATCATTTCAACAGCAATTTATAAGTGACACTTGAACACACTTGAAGGTCACAATAATCCCTTCAATATATTTTGTGTACAACAGCAGATTTGTGAAACAAATCAGAAAAGAATGCAGAAGTCAACAAGAATACAGTATCATTTCTCTTAAGAATTCTAGTATTTTAAAGTCCTATATTTTGCTTCTCTTTGTTATAAAACCAAACAAAATAGCTTTGGGGCTCACAAATGGCTTGCAAATAAAACTGAAGACATCCTAAAAAAAAAGTCATCTGGTTTTATAGTACCAGAGTAAGCAAACAAAAAACTGTCCAGATTTTCATACTGCTAGTCATGTTTCAAAGTTTACTTAAAATCAAACATTCTTAAGTTTCTTTCTCACCTCTTGCTTATTTGCTACTAAACCTCGAAGATGTAATTTCTTTATCTGCAAAATGGCAATGATAAAAATAGTATCTACCTCATGAGGTTATAAGAATTAACAATACATGGCAAGAATGTTCCTGGCACAAACAAGATACTCAATAAACGTTCATTCCCTTTTCCTTTCCTCTGTACCTCTTATTACGGTGGTCCAAAAAAAGGAACATCAACTGATAATTCCTTGGATTCCCCAAAGAAAAGTTGTGAGCCTCAATGAGCACTGCTACTTCAAATATTACCCCCATGCTAAGTCCAAAAGAGTCTTTCCTTAGAATATCACATCTAGGTTGAAGAAAAAAATTACAGACTAGAAAATGACACAGCAAACAATCTGAGCTTGAAAGTTAGGATGCTACATGTCTTTGTGGACTGTGCAATAATTTCCCCGGTGGAATTATAACTAATCAGCCCTGGAAAAAATGTTTACCCATATGGGAAACAAGTAAATTTCTAAGTGTCAGAAAAAGTTGTATCAAGATACAGTTCTAATTCCATTTTCCTATTTTTCCATTTGGGTCAGAAAAACCAGAAATTACTAAATCATATCTCTACGGCAATTTCTCTCCAAATCTATTATCATTTAGAGGCAAAGAAAACAACATTAACTAATGTTTCTGGCCCTCTGATCCTCATGACTTGAGACTCTTAATAGAAATGTAAGGCAAAGGCCAGGCGCGGTGGCTCAAGCCTGTACTCGCGGCCGAGGCGGATGGATCACGAGGTCAACAGATGGAGACCATCCTGGTCAACATGGTGAAACCCCAGTCTCTACTAAAAATACAAAAAATTAGCTGGGCATGGTGGCATGTGCCTGTAATCCCAGCTACTCAGGAGGCTGAGGCAGGAGAATTGCCTGAACCCAGGAGGCGGAGGTTGCGGTGAGCCGAGATCGCGTCATTGCACTCCAGCCTGGGTAACAAGAGCGAAACACCATCTCAAAAAAAAAAAAAAAAAAAAAAAGAAAGAAATGTAAGGCAAACAGGGAAATAGGGGAAGTTAGTTACGATATTTCCCTAACCAAACTGCTGGCAGACAGTGTTTCAATGGGAAAATCTAATGTACCCTCCTTAAAAAAAATGATCTCACTTTTCTTTTAACAGATCAAACATAGGTTTAAGCACACTTATAATATCAGTACAAAACTGATTTATTATCAGCTGTTGTTAGTATATTTCTGAAGACACATATAATCTTTCAAGGTTTTAGAGGAAGTAGTTAAGCTGAAGTTTTTAACAAAATTTCTAAAATACGGTTTTAGGTAAAAATAGAAATCAGAAAAATTGGTTTTGAATGGTAAAAAGTACCACCTAGAAAATAACTTTAATATAATGGAATAATTTAACATAATCAATAAAATTATCAGAATAAATGATACTACATGAATAAACCAATCGTTACTTAAAGTAAATTATTTTATTCTTTCCATCAGGATTTAAAACTTCCCCTAAAAATGATAATACTGATCGATGTTCTCCACAGGCTCTAAAATATGCTTACTGTTCATTTATATATATATTCCATGTATGACTGTAAATGATATATACAAGAGGCTAAATTTTATCTAAATCTCATGTTTAATACAAGAAAATTCCAGCATGCTTCCTGTAAAATCAAAATTAAAAGAATCCTATTGTCCTAAAGAAAAAATTATACCAAAAAGCTTGACCAATTATGCTTTCTCTAAGTTCTGAGAAAAGATTATTACTCATGAATCTCAATATTTACACAATGTTACAGAACTGACTTCTTTTTAGGACTCAGAGCAATTTGTTTCACTTTGCAATGTGTAAAAAGGCAACTGATTAATAAGTCTGAAGTCCCAAATAGATGTGGACATTTATAAATTTTGGTAAAATCTGTGCATTTTAATTCACAAAAATCAGGTGAATTTCTTAATGGCAATGACATCTAATACTTTTAATGGAGGCTTTAATGGAAAATAAAATTCTACTCAGCAAAGAACATAAAGTGACATTTAAAAGGCAGTAATCCAAAATCCAAACTGTCTCTGATACTAAATATTTTCTGTGAGAAAAGAGCTCTTCTTTTACAAATCAAAATGCCACTTCTATTGACATAATTTTGTCATGTATTAATTCTCATCCGAAAGTTTAGTTTCAAAATCTTGAAAATGGGAACCATTTCTAAAAATACTATACTGCCTTCCCCAAAAAAACATACTTCAGAAAACTAAAGGGCAAGATGATGTTAAGGAATCTCAAAGCTGCAAGATTAATGGCTGAAAAAGACATATAACCGTATTTCAAGGGGATTCTTCAGACTGTACTAAATTCAAAAAATACCATAAGGCCATTGACAAAAACAGGTGGCCATTTGCAGAAAATGCAGTTTATCTAATGCCCAGTTCTAGAGCAGCGGTTCTGAAGATGTGGTCCAGTGAACTCTCTTTCAGCAGGTATACAAGGTAAAGGCTACTTTCATGATACTAAGACATTGTTTTTTTCACTCTTTCTCTTATGGGAGTAACGTGAAGTTTTCTAGACACTACATGAAATGGGATTTGACAATCTGTGTGCTTCCTCAGTTTTAATTTGAAATGGTAAATATCACCAGATATAATCTACATAAATGTTAATGGTTGTCCTCAATAGTTTTTAAAACTGTAAAGGGGCTACGTGTGGTGGCTCACACCTATAATCGCAACATTTTGGAAGGCTGAAGCAGGATGACTTGTGGTCAAGAATTTGACACCAACCTTGGCAACATAGTGAGATCTTTCTCTACAAAAAAAATAAATAAATAAAAATAAAAGCATTACCCAGATGTGATTATACACCTGTAGGCCCAGCTACTCCAAAGGCTGAGGTGAGAGAATTGCTTGAGGCTGGGAGGTCAAAGTTGCAGTTAGCCATGATCACGCCACTGCACATCAGTCTGGGCAACAAAGCAAGACTCTGTTTCAAAAAAAAAAACTTTTTTTATAATTTTAAAATGAAGTCAGCTGTGGTAGCTCATGCCTGTAATCCCAGCACTTTGGAAGTCCAAGGCGGGTGAATCACTTGAGGTCAGGAGTTGGGAGAACAGCCTGGCCAACATGGTGAAACCCCATCTCTACTAAAAATACAAAAATTAGCTGAGCATTCTGGCATGCACCTGTAGTCCCAGCTACTCAGGAGACTGAGGCAGGAGAACTGCTTGAACCCAGGAGGTGGAGGTTGCAGTGAGCCAAGATCATACTACTATACTCCAGCCTGGGCAATGAAGTGAGACCGTGTCTCAAAAAAAAAAAAAAAAAAAAAGAAAAAACCAACAATTTGAGAATCACTGCTCTAGAGTATTTCAGAGTCTGCAGCATAGGTATGTTAAAGCAATTAAGAGCAATAATTATAAGAGGGCCCTGCTAAAATAAATATCTTCAAAATAAACTTCAAAATTATGAAAGTTTCAGGTCATCATTTCGCTACAAATAAACTTAGCAGCCAAGAAAAATGTCTGCCTGCTTATAAACTAAATATGGTGTAATTATATAGATATAATATATAATATATAATTATATATTTCTATTATGAACTTCTAAAACTACATTTTCAGCTATCTCTACAAAGTAGTTTCTGAAAACAAAAAGGGAAAAATCAAACTTCAAATATAATCAAATATATACTTAACTATGTATAGATACAGAAATTATAACTAGCTAAAATAACCAGGAAGATTAAAACCCAAACACTGGCCACAAGCAACAAGGACTAGCTTTAATCATCTTTTTACAAAATCAAGATCATAAAAATAAGAAATCTAAATATATAATAGTCACAATTAGTTTAATTAAAATGTAATTATCTAATTTGAGGGACATAATTTAAATAACTAAAATCACCAAAAAATTACCGTAGAGCTTAAATAATAGAGTTGTGGGGAAAATGACTCAAGCTTTTAAGTAGAAAATTAAGAGAAAAATTAACTTTTTATGATCTCTTCTACATGTGCACTTTTAAGTGCTTTGGAATCTCATTTCTGGAATGTGTTTGTGTTTGTGACTACTAACCTAAACATAAAAGGTTCCATTATTGACAGGCATGGTTGCTCACAGCTGTAATCCCAGAGGCTGAGGTGGGCAGACCACGACATCAGGAGTTCAAGACCAGCCTGGCCAACATGGTGAAACCCCATCTCTACTAAAAATACAACATTTAGCTGAGCATGGTGGCATATGCCTGTAATCCCAGCTACTGGGGAGGCTGAGATAAGAGAATTGCTTGAACCAGTACTTGGGACACAGAAGTTGCCGTGAGCCGAGATCACACCACTGCACTCCCAGCCTGGGCTACAGAACAAGACTTAATCTTAAAAAAAAAAAAAAAAAAAAAAGGTCCCATTATTTACTAAAGTGTCTTCTAATGAGAAAAAAAACTAAACAACATGTAGACTTTAAATGCATCATAAACATTAGTCTACAACCTCTTCAGCAGTACTAACGAAGTATAGGTTTAATAAACAAATACTGTACACATTTTACATGGCAAATTTCTAAATATATGCAGATGTTCCCCACACTTTGACGTTAATCTAATCCACGCTGCCTCCATCATTAGCTAGACTACTTCTAAGAGTATCAACCTAATAAAAATGAAGAAGTGAAGTTGTCAAAAGTAAACTTATTCATTAGCTATAGAGTACTAAGTGCTGTAAAATAAACTGAATGCATGCCTAAATTAAATCCAAACAATTAGATTTTTCCATGCCTGGTTCTTTAAGACAGCACTGACAATAATGGAAGTGCCTGTCCTATCTCATTAAAAATATTATACTATTTCCCAAATGACAACTTTCCTTTAAAGATAAGAATTAGAATGGCACTGAAGGCAGGCAACATTTTTCATATAATATATCGGTTTGAGAAGTTAAGCAATGTTTATAATCCAAATATAAACTGCTGTCTCATCTCCACTGATAACCTCACAGCCTGCTATAGATAACTCTGGTAAGAAGATCGCCGTATTTTTAAGCAAAACAAAAGAGATAATCACTGCTATATAAAATTTGTAGGTAGAAAAATGTGAAAGAACAAATAAAGCATAAGAGAAAAAAAAATTTATATCAGTTTAACTTACTTCAATGATATGGAAAAAAGTAAGTGTTTGGTAAAGAAATAAATTTTGGTGACTATAAACACATTAACAGAAATGACAACTAATAATTACAGTTCTACATGTGATGTAACAGATACATCTACATGTAAGACAACAACTCAATCTTTCTTTTGAAGAAAAACATATACAAAAACACATAGACAAAGAGACACAAATGTGTTTGACTGAAGAGTCTTGAAAGATGCATCTCTGAGATCAATGGATATACCTAACTTTCAGTAGCAGAACTTCAAGTAGAAACACTGAGTCATTACTGTAGTTTTATTATAAAAATGTCTGTTTTATGATGGAAATGTTTGGGTTTTTTTTTCCATTTCTTTGTAGAGAGAACTTAATTACTAAACATATGTAAAAATAGTTCATACTTATGTGTATGTCCCATACACATAAAGCAAAGATTTAGTGAGCAAAAAGATGATGAGCACTACAACTGGTAAAGGAATTAATCTTTAAAATGAATCTCTACAAATTTGAGAAAATCATCAGGCTGTTTGTTGCCCTGCTCTAAGGTATTCTGAAGGCCTACATTTTAATGTGGATATGGACCTAACCAAGTTGAAAGAAAGGTGTCCTTTGTTTTCATAATCCACTCAGCACCATTCAGCAGTCCTGTGAACAAAGGAGTAAAGGGATAAAAAGGAGAATGGAAAACTGTCATTTCCCAAGTCTAAGGATATAAAAATATTTCTCTAAATATTTCTCCTTGAGGACAAAGATTGTGAACTCCTTGAGAACGGTGACAAATAGTAGATTTTTAATAAAAGTCTGTTGACCAAATGAAAAAGTGTTACAGTTAGGGTGCTCATTCACTCCCACAGCCGTCTATAAATAGGAGTTCAAGGAAGCCACTTAATACAATGTGTAGAGTGATTTAGAGAAGAATTCCCTTTTCCCCAGACAGACAGATATAAAAATTGGGTTGATCTACCTCATTACTCTTGCTTTGAGATAGGGTCAGGCTATCATTGGTCAGTTCCTCATCATCAGCACTGTTTCTGCTAAGAACTTTACTCTTCTTCTTTTTGCAACCCCCTTCACTGGCAGGGCTACTATGATCTTCATCATTGCCTTCATCATTCTCATCTTCATCACTCCCACTTCCCTCATCTTCATCGTCCTCATTGTCTCCATCACTTCCCTCTTTCTGAGATGCAGATCTCCCTTTTCTCTTCACTACAGTAGGTCGCCAATCATTGTCATCCTCACTGTCATAGTCATCCATGTCATTCAGTTCTTCCATGGACACAAAATCCAGAAGTGGTCGGTTTCGTCGCAGGTTCCATTTTTTTGGCTCGCTGACTTGTTCCTCTGTAGCAGTTGTTGTAGTAGGAACAGAAGGGGATGTGTTAACAGCAGGAGGACTTGTGGCTAGTGTGGTGGCAGTAGCAGAAACAGCCACATTCTCAGATACTGTTGCTTTTTCTTTTTCCTTCTCTCTTTCCTTCTCTTTCTCCTTTTCCTTTTCTTTTTCCTTCTCTTTCTCCTTTTTCTTTCTAGGTCTTTCTCCATTATCTTCTTCCTCCTTCTTTTCCATTTTAATTAATTGTTTTTCTGATAATAGTACTTCTTCCTCTGCAGAATTTTTAAGTTGTTCTTCTTTTACTTTAATATCTTCATTCAGTTCTTCTTCTAAAATATTTTCTTCAGAATCACTACAGGAACCTTCTCCACTGTCCTTTGAAGCATCTTCACTTCCATTACCACTCCCTTCAGAATCTGTTGAAAATATGAGAAAAAAAAAACCACACATATGTATATACATACACACACACACACACAACGCTGACACAAATGAAACCACCAAAATTTGTGAATAACTTGTAAAACAATATAAACAAATTTAAGTCAAAGAATGGTAGACATTCCCAACCTGATCAAATAATAAATCAATGAAGTTGATACAATGGTTTTAGTTCAGTATAGCATTAATGAAGATGAATATATATATAACCCTAAATTAAAATATGCTTTAAAAAGAGAAGCACTATTTTGTGTCATATGGCAATGCTTGGTACTGAAGAGGCAATTATTTTTTAATGTAAACGTGCTTCTTTTAAGATTGGGCACTTGATTTTAATTTTACTGATATAATACAGACAAAATTCTTCCTCCCTTAAACATCTTTTATAAACTATATGGACTTACAAGTATTGAGACACAACCAAAACAAGGTAAATCTCACCCATTAAACTGCTTCATTTATTTTATTCTACCCAGCAAAATGAGCATAGTTATTTATGAAAGTCAACTTATACCAGATCCTTAATATACCAAACAGATTTTAGGAATACCAAGAACACAGGCCCAAAGAGAAAACAGACAATAGCAATGGCACAGAAAAAGGAAGTTGCAAGAGAAATTATCAATTTTCCTGTTTATTAGAACACTCTTCATATCAATAAGGGTCACTACACTTTCAAAAATTCTAGACAGTAACTACTATAGGCTCTAGAATGGAAGAAATTGATGAATAAAGCAATCCATCCTGAAAATGAGTAGTCAAAGAGGTTACTGAAAAGTCAGGCTGAGGACATTAAAGAGCTCACACAGGACTATAAACTTTCTAGCAAGTTTCTTCCATTCCTACCTAAGGCAGCCCAGTCCCTCTCAACCTAACACTACTCAGTAACCTTCTAATCATTCTCTTTGTACCCAATCAAATAAGTAACAATCTAAAATATTTGGAGAGAGAAATAAATGGGAGGAGGGAAAGAGGGCAGGGAGCAGGAAGAGGTGGAGAAGAAACATGTCAAGTCTTAGCCAATACCAATAGTTAAATCCACATGATGATTAACTTTTTTGTACTTAAAGCCAAGAAAAAGGTAATGATAAAATGGTGAAGTAAGTAGTGTTTCCACATAATTTTGATTTCTATTAACTCAACTAGGCTTAACCTCTGTAATTAACTGAGCATTAAAACTAAAAGAAGCTGTCTGTACTTAGTATCTGGTATCTAGTGAACCTCACAAGTCATATACAAATGACTGATAACAAAAATATCCTGCAAGTAAAATTACATAAAAAATAAACACTAACATTTAACAGATACTGACTCACTCTAAGAAATCATTACCAATCTCGCAACTCTCATGTAGGTATCCATAGCTTATTTGGGATCGTTCTGAAAAAAAACACCCATCCTCAACAACCTTGCACGGGACATAAGAGCAGTATCACACAGGTCAGCAATTCCCTATCTGAAGCTTTAAGAGCCAGATGTGTTTCAGAATTCATAATTTCTCAGATTTTCAAAGGGTAACATGGCACATGCACCATATGTCACACTAATACCCTCAGTGAAGTCTATGGTATTATAATCAAACACACTATTTCTGCAAAGAAAAATACAAATATTTACAGAGTATGAGAAATAAATAATACAAATAAACTCCTATCAGTTTCTGTTAGGTTTTGCCATCAAGTAACTTTGTGTCAACCTTACAAAACACTTAGATTTTTGAGCTTCTTGAATTTCAAGAGTGCAGACCCAGTGTTACTCACAAACGACTGACTTCTTTCCAGTCTCCAGAGCATTAAGAAAATTATGACTTTGTAAACCATTCAAGCAATTTAACCCAACCTACCAAGAAAAATCACATCTGGTAAAAATAACATAATAATAACCTCTAGACATTTTAAAATTATGATTTAATAAACAATAACCAGAGTTGACTAAACACGTCTAAGACACAGAAGGATCTCTTATGCACACTGACTGAAGAAAACTGAAACACCTTAGGATCTAGAATGGAAGCAATGCCGTAATTAAAAGAGCTAGAAAATCAAGATGAAAGAAAAGGTACTTTTCTTCTGGATCAACCTTCTAGAAGGCTTTTTAACAATCAAAACTTGATGATAGACACAAGATTAACTGGGGTAAAAATAGGTAGCTGATCAAAATTCAGACCAATCCAAATTTGCTATTACTTGATAAATTTTACAAAATGTCAGAAATTTTTATAATTTTGTTTTGATTGTTGCCAATGCCAATTAATTAATTATTTTTTCAAATGAGAGGTAAATTGAGACTCCTTGATTTGTTTTTGATTTATAATACTGCTGAATAAAAAGCAATTTTTAATATTTCAATGTTTCATGTTTGTTAACTATTATTAGAAAAATGGACATTTTTCTGCAAAACCAAGTCCGAATAGCTTACCTAACCCCTCATTCTCCAAATACAGTACATTACTTAGACTCCAACTACAGGGATCAGCAATACATCAAATTTTATCTTTCTCTGATCTCTGAAAAATAACTTCTTCATCTGATTAGTCATTATTTCTTTTTTGTACATGTGCACTGGAGGGATGAAGATAAAAACCACATTTAGTTATTATAAGCATAGCTGGTTAATAACGAAACTGAGAAAAATCAAGGTCCTTGGCTATTTTTTTCACAAGAGGCATACAAAATAATTCCTATTACTATAAAATCAAAGAATGACTCTGTGCCATGTTCCAAAATAATAAAAATAAATAAACAAAAAAAAAAATAATAGACTGGAGAAATGGGCCAGATACTTCAAATAAAGCTATCTCAGGCAGAAAGACAGAGTTAATTTCAAGTCTACAATAAACCTTTCTTATATTTGAAAAAGATCTTTAAAATTTAAATCCTACTTCCCATTTGTTTAAATAAAAAATAACCTTTTACAAACATACAATAAATCAGAATCTCTCCAAGCAATAGCTATTTCAACTAACACTTAAGAAATTTTTTAGTTACAGAATTTTTAAAAACTCCTTTGAGTGGTAATGGCCAAAAATAAAATACACTTTAAAATAAGAATTTAAAAAACCAATCTTCAAGAATCCCTTTACAATAAATAATAAAATAAAAATTAATATCAACCATCAATACCATTATATCCAATATTCTCCCCATAACAAACTCAATGTAATTTAATTGTTTTATGTTAATATACAACATATGCAATATAAATTTGCTCATCAATTTCATCAATCTAATTCTGTTCATTGATCTGGTACAACAGTATTAATACTATAAATATACACAATAGATAACAGACCAATCACTATTCTCCTAGTTACTAAGGGCTATCTTGGGGCTATGTTTGATTAAAATTGTGTATGTCTTGAAGACAGATAATCAGTCAACACAACTCATCCTCTACTTCTGAATCTAGTTCCAGCTATGTCAACTTAGGTTTTTATGGGTAAATCTAAGCCAGTGCTTCTCAAATGGGGACATTTTTTCCCCAGAGGACATCTGGCAATGTCTGGAAACAACAGTTGCCAAAAGAGTGGCAGTGGGGTTAGAGGTGAGGCTGGGGCAGGTAGGAAAGATGCTACTGGCATACAGGACAAGCCTCCACAACAAAAAAGTATCCAACACAAAATGCCAATAGTGCCACAGTTGAGAAATCCTCAACTCGTACACAAGGCCTCAATTTGACCTTATTCTACTTTTCCAGGCTTATTTCTTCTACTTTAACTCAACCCTGATCCCCAAATATAAAAAACATTTCCAAGTCTCAATAGTTTTAATTTTTCCTTTACCAAGATTGCTGTTTATCTAAATCTCTTTCTGTTCATAGTTCCTCTTATGTCCTCAATGAAACTGTTCTACATCAATCTAAACTAATCCCATTTCCCATGAAAGACCTGAACTATACAAGCGATCAATCATCCTTTGTATCAATTATTTTAGTTAATTATTCTAATTTTTATTTTACTTACATGTTATTTTACTTATTTATTCTAGTATTATTACTATTGTTTTGTAAATTCACCATAACATCTAGCAAAGGGTTAAACTACAGATAGTCAATGAACACATCTTGGTCCATTTATGCAAAGTCAGATTAAGCATAAAATACCACCAAAGTCTCAGGCTGACTCTTCTCATTAAATTATTTCCTGGCAATATGACCTAACTAAACCATTGATCAAGATCTAAAACCAACCCCATTTTATTCTGGCTAGTGGGGGATGGGGTAGAGGGCATGGCTAATCATCTGCTTAATAAAAGTAATACATGTCTGCATCTTTAAAAAGACGTAAACATTCTTTAAAATATTCAATTGATGTAGCAGATAACTAAATGTAAATAAGTTTCCTACCCTACCCCCAGTCCTCAAATGTAAACAAACACTTTAACTAGGTCAAACCACAAAATTGCCAATATTTGAATGTTTTGGACCTACAAAACTGGTAATTCCATATGGTTCAACCTAACATTTCTACATATGGTTCTTCTGGTGGTTATCACCATAATTCTAATACATATATACCCTATTTTAGGACTTACTCATTTCAAACTTTATTGATTGCTTTCAATCAGAAATGAGAAACTTACTTTTACTTTTGCATTAAAAATAAAATATAAACTATTTTTGTTTACATTTTATTTCATAATTTTCTAAAGGTAGAGGATCATAATTATTAACTTTGTCAATAATCACGTGCCAATCTTATTGGTGGGTCATTCTTTAGCAATGTTGATTTGTTTCCATTTTACAATAGAGTTAAATTATGTTTATCTTTAAATGTTTTCTATATTCTTAAAACCAAACCAATACAAAAAGTTTTATAGTCAGAATTTCAGATTTCAAGATGAAGGTAAGATGAAATTAATCCACAGAATCCAGTTAGCCAAAATTAAGGCCAACCAATCTAACCACTTTAATATTAACTTCTAAGGAAGTCTATAGTTCATTCAGTAAGTCATTTCTAGAAGTTGTTTTGAAAGAAGATATGATCAGACAAATGTTTAGTTACCATGTCTCTACTTCCAATTTAATCTCCTATTCATAAGTAGGGCTGGGAATGCACAACTTCAACATGTTTGAAAACCAGTGATAGGACTTCACTTCAACATGTTTGAAAACCAGTAATAGGACTTCACTTCAACTTGTTTGAAAACCAGTGTCTTATCTTCTATAAGACTCCGATTACATATATACTATCTCAGGCACAGAAAAGATTCAAATGGAAAACAATGGTAATCTAGAGTAAGCCAATATCTCAGCTATGAGGAGATCAATGCACCTAAAACGAGTCAAAAATATGATTCAATTTCTGTTGACTACTAATCATTTTAAATAAAATTTTTTTCTAAATTCACTTTTACAATAAATACCAAGAACTATACATATAAATTTGTGACCTGAGACCACAGGTCGCAAATTGAAGCTCCCCAGGGGCCAGGAAGGTAAATTTTAAGTGCAGCATACTAGATGTTGTATGAGGGACGAGGAAGCAAATAATGTTAGTGTATTTAGGGGATACAGAGATATATCAACCTAACAAAACTCATCCTATCATTTTTCACAAATAACAGTTCTCTTCAAGTATAATTAGGATTCAAAAAGGTCAATACTTAGCTTGATATCGTAAAATATTTTCAGAAAATACTTCATGTTTATGTCAGATTGTTTTCCCACTTGAAAAAGTGATACCTGTGAATACTCCATCTCAACAAACAAATCTTAAAAACAAACTGTCCATAAAGTCAATATTGTCACATAAATATGTAACACTTAATATAAGTTTTAGAATTGTTCCCACAATGATATTCAAAGAGTTCATAACTTCCGAGATCCAACTATGTTCGTCAAAGTTTACAACCACAACGATAACAAACCAAAACTACCTCCTAGCCAAGAATATTCTTATCGGCCAAGGTCTTTACCAAGAGAACTAAGATTTAAATTTTACCTCCTCTCCTTTCCCCTTCCCTTCTTTGGAAATACCAAACATCAGCAAACCAACTAAATGGGAGATAAAGAGCTGAGAAGCAAAGGTTAAAAAAAAAACAGTTAATCAAGATAAACTTATCAATTTTAGATTGCTAGGGATGAATTCAATTGGTAACCAAATATCCAAAGTTTCTGTTTAAGATTCAATCAGTCAACTCTTAGCATCTAAGCAGATAAACAGACTAAATTCTGAAGACAAGTCCATTGGATCTGACTTAGTGACCTCAAGCCAGTTCTGTAAACTCAATACCCCTGTTACCTGAAAAAATAGTATCTCCTTCACTTATTTACTGTGAAAATTAAATGAGACTATGCAAACAAAGTTATCAGTAAATCACAATGCAAATTCTGCTGTTGATGCTACTAAAAGTAGCAACAGTAATACAACACAATTTAATTCACCCTTCCTACCATCCCTGGCAGGAAAAAGAGTAGGGAAAACCAGAGGAAGGAGAGATGTGACTAAGCACAGCAAACTCTCTGGAAAGATATTTAAAAACTGATGAAGAGATGAAATTGGAAAGGCTTTTATCACTTTATTTAAATTTTCATCTCACTTTAAATTTTCACAATAAGTGGAATTACAAATAATTTTTATTGTTCATATATCAGTATTTTTTCCCATAAACACTTAAACATAATTCTTATGTTTCTCAGATTCCTTCAATTGAAACTGTATATATTATACACATCAGGTGCATTGAACAGAAGATACAAAGGAAAACCATAATTTTCTGTTTTCCTATTTAGTAAAATGTGATTATAAGACCTTTAAAAAAAGTTTTAAAAATTACTAAATACAGTGAGCAAGCATGCATGACATAAACTTCAGATATTTCTGAAAAGCCCAATCCACAAGGTCCACCACCTACTATAATTTAAAGTGCAACTCTTACTCTGGTCAATTTTATTCTAGTAAAAGAGCTAATAAACAAAAAAGGAAAACTCCCCTCAGAGAATGCCAAGTGAACGGAAAACAGAAGAACCCTGCTCAAGAACTATTCATGGTCCACACACCTCTCAGGATACTTTTCTACTTCAGGATATCTTTCAGTTTTTTTCTCTATAACATAAACATTTTTTAAGGTGTACAATAGAGAAAATACTTCTATATCTTTGGAAAAAGTTCTTCCCCTGACTGCTAATTATCTCTGAGGAAAACAGAAGCAATTATAGGTCTAGTGACAGGATATAAAGGCAAATGGGAAATCAAACGGACAAAATAAATGAAGTATATGTGCTTTCACTTAAAATTGGCATTTTAATCAAAACCGATTAAAAAAAGAAATGTCTAAAAACAAACCCAACTCCAGAAAGCCGGGAAAGGGGAAGAGAGAAGGAAATATTTACCTGAGGCATCTCCAACTTTAAAATCACTGTCATCTGAACTATCATAATCCAGAGCTTCCAGCAGAGAAGCTGCCAAAGGCTTCACCTGCCTCCTCTTGGAGCTGCGATCCACTGTTAAGAAAAAAATTACATTGTCACTCATAATCACACCAAACACAGGAGAGAGTTGTGGTGCTAAGAGAACATAAAGATGACCTCACGCAAGGAATTTTTGCCTAATTATCAGCAAAAGGGGTCAGGAGAAGTGGGGTTCAGAAGTGGTCTGGGGAGGGCCGGACAGCTCCATGGGCAGTTTCAGAGGCAGCTCCAGCCCTGATGATGCCGACGACAAATGAGATCAGCTAAAATCGAAGCCGACCCCCTTGGGCATCTTTTCCAGATGTTTCTGCACCTTCCTTTTAATCCCCCACTTAAACATGGTAACAGTCAATAAAAAACGCAAATCCCAAGGAATAAAAGAAGCGGGGTTCATTCCGGCGGACAGTGTAGAGGGAGCATCCACCAAGGGTCCACCTTTCCCGCAGGGCTCTCCCACCCCTGCCCTGCTCCCCGCGGCCCTAACTTCTAGAATGGCAGAAATGGATCCCTCTCGCCGCAGAGGCCTCGTACACACTTACTAAGGAATCCGTGAGGTGGTCGTTTGGAGACTTAGGGAGAGGCTGCGGGAGCCCAGGCAGCGCCGAGGTCGGGGACTGCGGCCGCGGAGACAAGTCCGAAAGACGCTATTTAAAACCCGCGCGCCGCCAGCGGGACAGGGGCGCTCCCAAGAGTAGCCCCGCCGTCCCCTAAGTCCCCCGCCCCCTCCCCATCCCACACTCCCGGCCTCGCCAGGCCCTGGTCGCTCGAGCCCCTTCCCACGGCGCTCCCCGGCCGGAGAAGCTCTCCGGCTCAGGCAGCGCGGCCAATCCCCGGCGGCTCTAGGGAGTTAATTTCTCCCGTTAAAACTAGAAGAAAAAAATTAAAGAAAGAAAAACTTTATTAGCCTGCACCAAAAGCAACAAAATACCCAGAAATTGCACAGCGCGAGGCCGCCTTCCTCAGACAATAGAGAAAGCAGCGACCCGGATACAGCTCTGAGGAGAAGGAAGTGAAAACACGAAGCTAAAAGCAGCCCTGAGAGCAGTAGGAGTTGAGGGCGCATGCGCAGGACTCGCCCCCGCGCACCCTTCCGGAGCAGGAGCCGAACAGAGACGAGTGGAAGCCGACAGGGAGCCGAGGGGAGCCGCGTAGTGCCAAGCGGGAGCAGAGATCCCTGCCAAATCCTGTGCAGCTCCGCCCACAAACCCCAAAGGCTCCGCCTTTTCCGCGCCTAATTCTGCTCCAGAATCCAAATCCCTGGGACGCCAGTTTTTGTTTCTGATTTGTTTTTTAAGGATTTTCACGGAGTAAACGTACCACAAAGGGACGTTTGCTACCTTAAGCCACTACCAATAACTAAATGATATTGTCACCGGTATAGAGTCATGACTGAAAGTTGTCCAGGTTCTTGGCGTTTTGAACAAATTGGACAAAACGCCCAGCAAAGTAAAAAAAGAATGAAGCAACAAAAGAACAAAGGCAGGGATTTATTGAAAATGAAAGTACGCTCTATGTGGGAGGACATGAGCAGCGACTCAAGGCCCGAGTACAGAATCTTTTGGGGTCCAAATACCCTCTAGAAGCTTCCCATTGGCCACTTCAGGCTCACCTCGCTTAAATGAAGCGGTAACCCGCAATCAAGCTGATTGTTTGCAGAAAGCAGCCAACCAAAGACTGAAGTGAAGTTACGAGGTCAGGCTCCTGTGCAAACATTGATGCAAAAAGCATGCAATCAGAGGCTAGGGTGAAGTTACAAAGTTATATCTCTATGCAAAGGAAGACTAGCCTGCAATCAGCCTGATTTGTTACAGACAGCCAATTTCCTTCTTCCTTCCTTTTTCAGGTGGAGGAACTTTTCTTTTTGTTCCTAGTTTGCACATTGTTTTTATCATGAAAGAGCTTTGAATTTTGTTAAATACTCTTTCTGTGTCTTTTGAGATGATTGTGTGATTTTTGTACTTAATTTTTTCTATATGGTCTATTGTTAACGTTGCTTGATTTTTATTTGTTGAATAAACCTTGCATTTCTGCTATAAATTCTACTTAGTCATGATGTATAAACCTTTTTATAGTTGCTAGATTCAGTTTGCTAGTATTTTGTTCATTTTTGCACCCATATTCATAAAGGAAATTGTATTTTATGTCATATAAAGAATGTGTCTTTATTAGTTATGAACTGGCTATAATAACAGCTCCAATAATATTCTTCTGAACGTCTTTAAGGCATGCATGATAAATTACTGTTGGCATTTTTAAGTCAGGTTTTTGTTTTTTTTGAGACACTCTTGCTCTGTTGCCGAGGATGGAGTGTGCATGTCGGCGATCTCGGCTAACTGCAACCTGTGCCTCCTAAGTTCAAATGATTCTCCTGCCTCAGCCTCCTGAGTAGCTGGGATTACAGGTGCCTGCCACCATGCCTGGCTAATTTTTATATTTTTAGTAGAGATGGGGTTTCATCATGTTGATCAGGCTTGTCTTCAACTCCTGACCTCAAGTGATCTGCCCACCTCAGCCTCTCAAAGTGCTGCGATTACAGATATGAGCCACCACGGGAGTCTCCTAATGTTCTGCCATCTTCTTACTAGAATATTTGTGTTATGTAATCCATCATGTTTCTCTTTTTATTCTAATTGTCAGGTATTCAAATTCAAGATATTTGTGCATGACTACACGAAGAAGAATCATATGTTATAATCATAATTACTTCCAAATAACAGCAACCACTAACAGCTTTAATGTAGGATTTTGCCGAATGGTACTCACTCTTAATGTCCACAATTCTATCTAACTAAGCAAGCTGAATATGACTGTAAAAGCATCAGCAGGAATTATACAAAGCAGAAGATTTATATTTAGAAATGGTCTTTCAAACTACTCCAAAAGAAAAGATAGTGAAATAAACAGCTTGTTGTAGACACTTACTATAATGAAATAAATATGTATATAAAAGATAGTAAACTTAGAGTCTGAGGATCTGAATCTGAGTCTAGGCTTTGCCAATGAATTTGTGTTACCTTAAAAAAGTCAACATTGAGCCTCCAATTCTTCACCCAGAATCTGGAAATAATATTAATAACCCGTCTTGAGAAGCAGATAACATCTGCAGTATCTCCAAAATTACTCTAATATAAAAAAATTTTTAATCCAAGAAATTAGAGGACATGCAATGAAAAAAATATAAAAGAGAAAAAGAAAATAACAGTTATAATTAATTGTGAATAATTGTTGATACTGAGATTGTGGAATTTAACACAATTTTATTAAGCGACGATATGCAACCTAGAGGGGTCATAATTATGAATGATTATAACCAAATCCAAGAGGTGGGGGTAAAGAGAAGGAGTGCTTGGGGAAAGTAAAATAAGAGAAATTAAGAAATGAAGAGAGAAACTGCAGATCCTGATTAATTTTTTTAAGAAGCCAAGAAAGGGCTGCACACGGTGACTCAAGCATGTAATCCCAGTACTTTGGGAGGCCGAGGCAGGCAGATCATGAGGTCAAGAGATTGAGACCATCCTGGCCAACATGGTGAAACTCTGTCTCTACTAAAAATACAAAAAAAAAAAAAAAAAAAAAAGCCAAGAAAGTAAAATTTAGCTTGCTATAAATCTAAGGATAGTAGTGCTAGTTCACAACTAATTGAACTAATTTAATTGAACATGTGAATTACCTCACTACCCTCCCCAAAATACACAGAAATCACAGAAGAAATATACAAATAGAAATAAATCCATAAAACCATAGCAATGCTATGAACCTAGGAGGAATGTCACCAGCAGACTTTTGAGGGCTATGGAGGAATTTTGACGGTTCTGAAAGTAGGTTCAAATTGCCAACAAAATCCAACAGACTAAGGAGCTAGTAAATTCATCCAGGTGATGAATCATCAAAGAGAAGAATCACTAAAGTGAGTTTTTCCAATACAGTCTCTGCATCACACTTAGGTAAGAGACAATGAGGGTTGTGAGAAGGGCTGAGAATTGGACAGTAAGCTGGATAATTCATTAGAAGGAAAAGAGCCACATAGTAATTCTGTTGTCAGAGGAGCTGAAAACAGTTTCTCTCTTGAATAAAACTTAAAGTACAGCTCTACTAAGGATTAGCAGAATGGGAAGTAGGTTTATAGGAAGGAAACTGATAGTAACCCCACTGACTTTCAGCTGTCTTAAAAGCTGAAATAGGAAGATCCAGCATAGAAAATACTCATAAATCATACAGAAGAACATATTCACATGTACCCTCACTATACCACCAACTTCCTCATTAAGCCTACAAACATACAACCATGGGAACCAGTCTACCTATAATGAAAACTTGCATTTATTCTCTGCCAGATGAACAGGGCTTCTTATTTGGATGAAGTATATCAATTCTGGCCACCAACACCACATATTGTATACTATGAACACAAATATATACAGAGACCACCAAAAATCATTAAATATTTAAATAAACTAATAACATTGGAGGAACTAAATTTTTTAAAACTTTAAACAATAACTTAATTCAGATGTATTAGGTCTCTCATGGGCATCTTGATATTTAGAAAATGGAAGGGAGGCAGAGGCCATCTTTGTGCAGCTGTAACAGCAGCAAAATCAGCTCCATCATCTATAAGAATGGAATCCATATTCATTAGCTTCATTCAAAGGTATAAGGACCAGGAGGAAGAGCAGTTGCAGAGAGGGTTTGCAGCAACAGCTACACTAATTTTCTGACCTCTAGATCACAGCTAGAGTTATATGATTTTAAAACTGAAAATTTCCTTGAATCCCTGACTTTCACTCCTCTAGTCTTTCAAATGATTTTGTACATACCAAATTTTTTTCAGCATCAAATATATACAGTGTTTTCTATTTGCTATACTAATTTAATCTGATACAGTAGTTGGTATATAAAGATGTTCAAAAAATAAAGGAAACTTTAACACTGGGAATTTGATATTTATTATTTGACCCAGTTTGGATTTAAAGGCAATAATGTCTTGATTATCAGTGGAAAGTAAGATATTGGTAGTCTAAGACATGCCATGGTAATAGACTTACTTGAATTATCATATGTCATCACCTGAAATAAGGGGCCTGTTGAACATAAGACCTGCTAGCAATTGTTTGTTATGACAGAATACTAAAACAGAAATAAGAAATAAATGGGCTGGGGTTGGCTAACATGGCAGTTTTGACAGCCTTTGAAAAATTAGAGAAAAATGACGACAAGCACAGGGTTTGAACTTTTTTTAATTTTTAAATTTGATATGACATCTCTCTATATTCCTTAGGCTGTGCTTGAACTCCTGAGTTCAAGTGATCCTCCTGCCTCAGCCTCTCAAAGTGCTGGGGTACAGGTATGAGTGACTACATCCAGCTGGCTTTAACTTCTTGACTAAAAACTTGTTCCAACACACAGAGAGCTTCAGTGATTTCTTATCTTTGTCACTACTGATGAGGCAGACACTTTTTTGACCCTGTGGCAAAAGGGTGAGGAAGGCTGTCCTGTGCATTGTAGGATATCTCAGTAACTCTGGACTCTATCTGCTAGATGTCACTAACAGCTCTCCCTAACTCAAATTGTGACAACCCAAAATGTATCTGTTCATTGCCAAATATCCCTTGAGGAGTAAAATCACCACCAACAATGGCACCACTACTACTCACCTGCTATAAATTAATTTCATCTCATGTCATCATAGGGCTGATATCATTAATATTAATAATTTATCATTAATAATACAAGACATGCAGTGGTAATATACTTACTTGAATTAATAACTGATAAATCAGAATACACAAGTGGCAGATTTTAGGCAGCTTTATAAGAGTTTAGGATATTTACTGGTATAGAATGGTACCTTAAGAATTAAAAATCAAGCCTCAGAATCTCAGAGCCTCGTTTTTTCAGCAGAATTAGATCCTTCTGTCTTGATGAAGCTACCTGCCTTGTTGAAGACACTGTAATGAATGGACTCACCTGAGTTCATTACTTTGCAAAGGGATGCTAATTCTCCTCATGTCCATCTCTATTGCATCCCCTCACTACATCCCTAC